GTAAGTGTGGGGAAAACCTGGAAAAAAAATTATTTTAAATGCTATAACATAAGAAAATCACTTTGCACCAGACACTTGAATAAGCATCCTATGTGAAGTATTTCTTATGACTCTCATGGTGACCCTTCATTCATTCAATAGTCAATATTTTTTGAGGAAATACTTTGTGCCAAAGACTTTGCTAGGCCTTGAATATATAAATAGTGGGACTGGAGGCAATTTTTTTTCTAACTAATAGGACTGGCTAGGAACACAGCCATTTTTTTTCTTAAAAGTACACATAAATACATAGTAACACATTGTAATATGTGCCAGGAAGGAAAAGCACAGGGCTCTATTCGAAACTTAAATTGTTTAGGCTTATGGTATGTCTATCTAAGAAAGAAAGATTTAATCTGTGACACCCCCCCCCCCCCATCCCGCAAGATAAGTAAGAGTTAGCCAGGCAAAGGGCTAGGGGTGGGTTTTTCAGGCTGGGAAAACTCTACTGTCAAAGTCATAGAGAAAGCTTTGTGTCTGTGAAAAAAAGGAACAAAAGCCCATGTACTTAAAACATAAAAAAACATCTGAGATGGTTATGAGAGTTGGGGGGGGTTGTGCTGGGAGCTGCACTAGCCTTGCTGGATGACACAGTCACAGTGAGGAAATGGCAGCATTTGCACAGCTCCTGCCATGAGAAGCAAAAACTGGTATCTTCTTCTGCTACTACTGGCTTATGTTGGAAATGAGCCTGCTGGTATTGACCAGGCCTCACGATATTCCAAATAAGACTGATATTCCCCACACAGATACGTCATAAGGAAAAGCATATTCCTGCCCCTACAAAGGAGATTTTAGATAAAAGCGCTGTAGATGTTGTCAAAAGGCTCTTCCTATGGGCCTTGTAGATCTAAGACATAGATAATAAGGGGGGTTAAGAACACAAGAGTTACAATTAATTCTGGCCCAGAGATAAAGAGTCTAACTTAGAGATAAAAAACAGAGAAGGGCAGAACATAAGTTACTACATATACCTTTGCTAATTGGTGATGTATAGCAGTCCCTTCCCCAAAGCCTACATTCTACAAATACCTTCTCTTACACTGGCATCTATTATAAGAATGGATAAGACTAGTTAAAACGTAAACCCAAATACAAAGGCTGACACATTTAGGGCCCCTGTGGTGTTTATGCATTCAACATCAAATAAAAAAGTTTGCACAAGCAACTTATTAACCAGCTCGAAGACATTTTTCCTTTTGTAACACAGACAGAATGACTCCTAGCCTATCTATATACAACTTAACCTATGACTTAATCTTAGCATTATTGACTTAATCAAATGTGTATGTTATCCTGTTTTTCACTAAGAATACCCTGTTATTTTCTTAGTTGTAAGATTTACTCAACCTCACTATGACTGAAGTAGTTCTACAAGAATGCTTCTATAAAACCTGTTTCTGTACACTTTCCAAAGCATCGTACATAGAGAATTATCCATTGTAAAAATTCCATTTTCTGATGTCATGTTATCGTTTGACCTATAAATAAAGACACCAAATCCAACAGGACAGAGATGCCTGCCTGGTGATTAGGAAGAATCTCTGGGCTCTCTCATCATTCTTGCCGACACCATCCATCCTTCAGGGAACCCTGGACTGGCTGGAGCTGGACTCCGGCAGGGGGTTAGGCAGTACTTTGTAAATTATATTGGGATTTTAATCAAAATGCAGTAGAAATAAGTGAAAGGATTGAAACAGAGCAATGACATGGATCGATTTATGTTTAAAGGCATTGCTCTGGCTGCTGTTGTGTGAAGAATGAATTGTAAGGGGGAGTAGAACAGGGAGGCTTATTGGGGCTCTGATGGAGATGTCCAGGTGAAAGGTACCCTGGCTATGATTGCAACAATAGACTTGGAAAGATATAGATGGATTCTAAGCATATTTTGGTAGTAGAATACACAATATGGTCTTTGAACTGACCGTAAGAATTCAAACTGGGAAAACTACTTATTCTTATATTCCTTTTCCTATTCTTGAGTACTGAATACAAGGCTCTTAAAGAAAACAAACTGTCCCATTGCCTGAGGTAGCCAAATCTTATTCTTATTCTCCAGGCACTCCCATGTACTGAAGAGCTTGTATGGAAAGATGCAATGGGCTGTGTGTGCAGTATTAGTGACCCTTCTTAGACAATGGCTAAATGGGATGGGCTCTAATCAAGGTCCCACAGAAAAAATTCAATTTGATCTCTGGGCACTAAGTGAAAAAGATGTGTTCCTAGCTGCATTTCAACCCCAAACTCAGTTCCCTGAGCATGCCTCACCTCTCTCTGTTTGTTGGAAACAAACCTGTTCCTTCCTGGTTTATCTGCTCCATGGTTGTTAGTATGTGAAGCAGGGGCTTCTTCCTATTAACTGTTTAAGTCCTAAGGTTCACTTTCCAGAAAGCGATCCAAAATTGATGATTTTAATAACATATAAAGAAGTCGTCTTTACTTTTAAGAATTACTGCATAATCTTATATTATACTTTCACGAGTCTATTTATATTTGGCAGGTTTCCTTCACTAGAATATAACTTTCATGAGGGAACAAAATAGAGGTTCACTCTTTATTTGTTAGAAGATCAAATGAATAAATGAAGTTTGTTGGACAAAGATGACCAAGATAAAGCTAGGAAAAGGTAGTAGGCATGAGGAGAAGTAATGGATAAAAACAACATTTTTCACATGTTTTGTTCATTTTCCTCACGTAGTCACGGTAAAATAGAATTGAGGATAATTAAATTCCTAGCCTTGACACCTATAAAGATTGTATTTCTAGGTTCTTTCAGAGGGCATGATATTCTCACTTCAGCCTGTCCCAGAGGGAAGCCCTTTGCACTGTACAATTTTTGAGATGAAGAATTTGGCACAGAGAACTTGGGTGGAAGGGTGACATTCACACACTTGTGACAGAATTGTAATTGTAATTTAAACTTCTTGGATCACATCTGTTGAACCTTCCAAACTGTGAACTCTCTCAAGGTAGGAACTCTGTCTTTACATCTATGGGTTGGTAACTATATTTTTCAGGAAAAGTAGAAGTTAGCAAGACTCATTAGTTTTCATAAACTAGCTACTGCCATCACCCCTGATGCAGTTGAAGATACTCTATTTTAGAAAGAGTAAGAAACTTGTCCATAAATAGTAAATGGCAGAACAAGGATTTGAGCCCAATTCTGTTTGAATCCATACCTTGATCTCTTAACCATTCTACTAAGTTAAAAAAAAAAAAACAATGAGTACATTTTGCTACTTAGCAGCACTTTACTCCTACTACTCAAAGTCAAGTCCATCGCAATGGCATTTCCAAAAAATTCCCATTATTCTTAAGATTTGACCAATCTAAATCCCACCAACTGCTTTTAGCTGATGGTTTATATACTAATTTTTGAAGATACTGAAAGCCTTTGATTTGAACTTTTAATCCCCCTTCTCTTTAATGTGCCTTCATCAACAGCAGTACCTTACATGCCTTCTCAGATTTCTTTTTCCAATTTCTCTCTAATGATATTTTCCCCCACTAATTTCTTCATCAATCTTTGATTTATTCCTTTATCAGTGGCTCCTCCTACTTTTACCACCTGGTTCCTCCATTACTCATTAAAAGGATAATTCCAATGCTCTGTTCTTCCTTGAACTAACAACACTGTGGAAAATTCAGTTTCTGTCTTCTGTCATTGTTTCTTTACCTCTCACTTCCAACTATCAGAATTGTTTTAACTTCATGGCTCCATATTAAAATAATGTCAAACTATAATATCTTTCCACGCATCCCATAGGCTTCCAGGTTATTCTCTCTTTGAATTTGTATTGTATACATTGCAAACACCTCAACATGGTGCTCACTTTATGACTAAAATCTAGCATGTTAGCTCTATCTCCTACTGAGTGTGTGTGTGCGTGTGTGTGTATACATATACCCATGTCAAATCAAACACTATGCTATGTCTTTCACCATATTGTTACCTCTTTCTGCAATGATTCAATCTCTACTAATCAATAATTCTCCGTTATTCAAAGGCCAGTTCAAAGTACTTCATATACTATGACTCTATACTTAATTATATCCTTTGTCAGAAAGTCTTTCATCGCTCTTTTAAAGCTTGAAACTCTTTTCTATTGTATTTATTCACAAATGTGTTATCTGATCACTCTATATAAAAAAAAAGCCCCTTGAAGATGAAGATTGTGTGTAATTAATGAAAGCAAAATTTCAAATTTCAGAGGAGTTTACAAAATATTTTTGAAATCACAAGGCAACATGTATAGCTTATCAATATGGCTGACCATCACATGTACTTGGCAACCTTGACATTCAGAGTCTGTCTATAATTCACATTAGAGCCTAGGGAAGGATTCTGTAATATTTCCTTTACACGGTTTATACTAACAAGAAAGGCATTACAAATATAATCACAAATATACTTACAATGATATATTTTATAGTAAGCACATACCCAAATTCTGTACTCCTTGTCTATACTTTACCTCAATCCCCAGAAACAAAATCAAGATAGACTAGTATAATGTATTTATGTTCATACCTAATTTGCTTTGTGTACATGAATTCGGACATTTCACATGAACACGACCCAGCTATGGAAACATACTTCTGTATGTAATCCTTTTTTTATAACCTGCTCCAAATAGGAAGGCCTATGCAAACACAAGTATAAATATTTTAAATTACTGTTTTAAATCTTAATGTCAATAAAGATTATATGCATTTCAAGGTATAAGAAAAACTTGGGTGAGAAAATAAAATATTTAATTGTCTTAAGACACCTATTATCCTTGAATACTAACTCTCAATTATTATATTCTATATAACAAATTGAAGATGTGTTCTTAAGAGTTATTCAATAAAGTTAAATGTCAATGAAATCTGGCTAATAGAGGGAATATTTCCCTATTTATTCAATAAGATATGTTTCACTTAATAATTAAAGGAAATAAACTGAATGACTCAGGTACCTTTTCCAAACCTTCTTCCTTCAGGCTGATCACATCCAAGTCAAAATCTGTTCGCAAGCCATTGGTTTTGTTGAAAGTTATTCTGCCTGTGAGACCTTCCCAATGTGCCTATAGGGAAAGAAATAGGGAGGTAAATAAATAAAGAAGACAAAACATTTTTTCACACAAAACATAAGAAACATTATTTTCTTCTCCTAAATTGACATCACTACTAATTTTCAAAAAAATTTTTTAATGTTTTATTTATTTCTGAGAGAGAGAGAGAGAGAGACAGTGTGAGCAGGGAAGGGTCAGAGAGAGAGGGAGATACAGAATCCGAAGACAAGCTCCAGACTCTAAGCTAGCCATCAGCACAGAGCCCAACGTAGGGCTCAAACCCACGAACCATGAGATCATGACCTGAGCCGAAGTCAGACGCTTAACCCACTGAGCCACCCAGGCACCCCATCCCCATCACCACTAATTTTTAAAACATTTTTTTCTCTTCTGAACTTTAGAGGATTTTTTTCTACAGAAATTATCTTAGTCACAATACACAATTTATTATAAATTTTTCATTTTAAATAATCCATTTTCTAGATATAATTTTTATGAAAAATGAAGATTATGTTTTAAATAGCAAACTTCCTTTAGCAAACAGAATAATTTAGTTACTTGTTATAATAAATGAGATAGTGAATGTCTCACTGGAGATTACAAACAGAATTACTGTTATAAAATATCACTCCTAAATTTAGACTAATATGAACATAAACTTATTTTATTATAAGGAAAAAACTGAATTTAGGAAAACCTATGTTATACAACTTCAATTATGCGCTTTCCTCTTAGAATTTGTTACTTTCTTTTCCCTTAAGTGAGACTGGGAGAAATATATCAAAATTACTTCATATCTAACTATACTTCCTGTAAAAAGAGCTTTCCATGTAGTAGGAAGTGGAAATACAATAATCTAATTACACAATGGGTTTACCCATCACAGGTAAACAAATTTTGAGCTTTTTTTTTAAATAAAAAGTTTTCTTCTTACGTTGGTTACATAGACAAAGTTAATGCTTTCCATATTTTTAATTTAGAAATAGTTTAGAAAAATAGTCATACATGAAAATTTTAGTAATATATGCTTATAGCTATAATGTTTGAAAGAATATATACCGAGATCCAAAGGAAAAAAAAACAGATTATAGGTAACATTTCAATAAGCACTACAAATGGATATGATTATGACTACACTTCTTAGGCTCCATGTATTTCTATACTTATGTATAGGGATTCTAAAATTGTTTTAGGCTAATAAATTACAAAAAAAATCAGAAAAATTATAATACATACCTGGATACATATTATAACATGTCATCACTAAGTTTAAACATGTCTTAACTGGTCTCAAATAAGGAAGAAAAAATATATTGTTAAACCAAACTTTTCCACAAATAATAATCTCAGGTGATTAACAAAAATGCATATTAGTACAAAAATAGAAAATGTGAACAAGAAGTACTGGGGCACCTGGATGGCTCAGACAGTTAAAGGTCTGGCTTTTGCTCAGCTCCTGATCTCATGGTTGGTGGGTTCGAACACTGAGTAAGGCTCTGTGCTGACAGCTCAGAACTTGGAACCTGCTTCACATTCTGTGTCTCCCTGTTTCTCTGCCCCTCCTCTGGTCACACTCTCTCTCCCTCTCAAAAATAAATAAACATTAAAGAAGTACATAAGTAGAAGCATAGAATAGTAAACCAAATCTGCTATAGAGGCAGCATAAGGACAAGCTCATCAGGTGAAAATTCACAATTAATAAAACTGAATCACAAATTTAACTCTGAAATTCCAAGAAACCAAAGCAATGAAGAAAATATGATCTAAATACAATATATAGGGTCTATAATTTAAAACAAAAAACTGTTCAGGATAAGCAGCTTTTCTTGGTCCTGAAACCTGAGAGGAATGTCTCCTGTTAGTCATCATAAAGGGGCACACTGTGTGATTTAGTGGACAAGGTCCTCAGCAATACCTTATGACAAATGCAATAGTGAGTTCCTTACAACTATTTCTTATATGACTGTTGGACACACATTTCAGTACTCAGATGCTGCATTCAGAAAACAATTCTTCAACTAGCCAAACCTGTGCACTATGTTTGCAGCTCTCTTTTTCAAACCAGACATAAACGTAGAATGTGAAACAAATAAATGAACTACATATTATTCAGGGAGTGTCATTTCACCTATCTGAGAATATGTTAAAAATTACAAAAGGAAAATTCATGAGTATTCTTTGCCAAGGACCTGGAGATTCTTTTTTTTTAATTTTTTAAATGTTTTTTTTATTTATTTTTGAGAGAGAGAGAGAGAATGAGTGGGGGAGAGGCAGACAGAGAGAGGGAGACACAGAATCAGAAGCAGACTCCAGGTTCCAAGCTGTCAGCACAGAGCCCAATGCAGGGCTTGAACTCATGAGCCACAAGATCGTGACTTGAGCCCAAGTCTTTAGTTTAACTGAGTGAGCCACCCAGGCATCCCTAGGACATGGAGATTCTTAATTATGATCCCATTTTCACATTTATTTTTAAGATGAATAATATATGATGAACCGAGGATTTCTTTTAAACCATTAAGAAAAATCTTATATGATAACAATACCTGTGATTTTCCTAGCAAAGATTCAACTTTCATAGTTACAGTTTCATACAAAAACTCCTATTATAATCAAATAAAATGTATCTTAAACTGACAAAGGGATTTTCTTTATGAAAGGATAACTAGGAAGAATTGTGTTTATGTGTGTGTGTGATCTTTAGAATTTTCACTTTTTTTCCTCACTATGGGCATTTTTTATCTATATCCATAACAGTTGTAATCAGAAATTAATACAATACAATATAATACAACCATAAATGGCCATACAACATGGCCATAGTATTGATTGAATGATTCAGTATGAAGTAAACTTTATAATTTTCTGAATCAAGGTATGCTGTTTTGTGTGAACTGCTCATATAATTAAAATAACTAGACATGATTATTTAGGAACAATAGATCTAAATAATAATCCTTTAAAAAATTTTTTTAATGTTTATTTATTTTTTAGAGAGAGAGACAGAGATGGAGAGACAGAGTGTGACCAGGTGAGGGGCAGAGAAAAAGGGAGACACAGAATCCGAAGCAGGCTCCAGGCTCTGAGCTGTCTGCACAGAGCCCGACACAGGTCTCGAACTCCCTAGCCATGAGATCATGACCTGAGCTGATGCCGGAAACTTAACTTGACTGGGCCACTCAGGCACTCCTAAATAATAATTCTTAAGACGTGTAATTAAGTGGAGTGCAAATGGCATTCATGTTAAAAATTATTGCCTAAAATATAAGCAAACATTCTTTGAACTGTATCTCCACATAAATGAAAAGTAATACACATAAAGATCCAGGAAGGTGAAAACTAGCAGTGTCATAAATCATAGGTCACAGATTTTCATCGGTTTACACAATCATAGATATTTTGAAAGATAGCCATTTATTTGTCATGTAATTTTCCTCCTTTTGTTCCATTTCATTTAGTAAAAATGTTAATTTTGCTTGTACAGAGGAAGAAAGAAAGCTTAATTAAAAGATAAAAGTAAAAGTTCACCTGTTAATAAACCTGAAATAATCTCAAATCATTCACCTTGAGGACGAAAGAGAATAGGCAGATGTGCGTCTCCTGACATACCTCTTTAATTAGGCTCATAAAACGGGTCCCGAAGCGCCAGGGTTTATGTCTATTACACTGTAAGGAGCTGACTGTCATCTGGGGAAACTGTTGGACGCCCACGGACACCACATGCACGGCATCATACATGAGGGCAGCATCGGTCTAAAAGCCAAGAAAAAAAATACGGAGTCAATACAATACGTGAAACCCATGATAGAAGGTTTGGAAGGGGAGAGAAGTGTTAAGAGAAATATATACTCAGTTCATCTTCATGTAGGCAAGAAAACAATATTTCCAATGCTCTGGTTCTCTTAAATAAGGTATTGTTATCAATTACTTCATCAGCTCCATTAGAACATTTGACCTACCCTCCCTTTCCTGAAGTAATTACCCAATTTCATATTGTCCTACTATCTCTGATGAGGTAGGCAATATGTAAAGGCATTTGTTACTTTATTTTTTGTCACCCCCTCTGTCTCTGTATTACTCTGTCTTACTACACATACACACACACACACGGACACACACAAACACACACACACACTGAACACAATTGGCAACATTTTGAGTGATTACATAAATTACATATTGTATATAAAACTAAATAAACAATTTTCTTGTATAGAAAGAACAAGAGATTTGAAAGGAGATCTACCTAAAAAGCTTAGATATAACCCCTGATCTTTTCTTCAGTTTAATTTTTCAAAAGATTCAATCTCAGAAATGATGCTACCGTTTTGAATCTCAATACATGTATTAATCCCTTTTTAAGAAACTAAGCTTAATCCCCTGTCCTGTTTTCTTTTCCCCCAAATTTCCATATGAATAAAAGTTCATTTTGTCTTCTCAAGTAAAACGAATATGAATTCTGTGTTTGCACCTGCTCAAATGATGACCACTTTAGAAGCTGATGATAAAAAATAAAATGTTTACAAGTCATAACAAACCAGAGGCTCTGTGACTGTCAGCGGCTGTGTTAAATGGACCCACACATTGTGTTTGACGGATCGATGCCAGGCTCACTACCTACAGAAGAGGACCACACTGACAGTACTGCTAGCAATGAACTTTGGGCCATCTGCTTGGCATGCTTTGGGGTAAAAGCATATATTTCCTCTTCTCATTCACACAATTAGTGAGCTGTGAAATGAATTCCAAAATGAATAGGAACCCTGTAGATTATAGCGTTTGCCACAATACAATACAAAATGAGTACACACAGTAGCTTTCATGCAAATGGATCCTAAGGAGCTTTACCACATAAAATGGAAGACGGCTAAAGAGCACAATGCAATGACAAACCATAATAATAATGCCATTTTATAGTTCATAAATCTTTGGGGAATATAGCTCAGATTCATAACCTTCACTTTGTAAATACCAGCTGACTCCTTTGCATACTCTGATGGCTGCATAGCGAAATGAGAATCATGGAGTTGAAACCTGCATATATCATGAGCCTGAGGATTAGACTGATATTTGTCATTGGCCTGAAGTAATCTTCAGGGGACATATATACCACACAGGTGGTCATAAAAACAGTTATGAAAGACACATTTGATTATAAAATAAAATGGATTTTTTAAAACATATCACTGTTAACAAAGGTGGAGGGGAATGAACACTTTCACTCACTACTAAGATAAAGGGCAATTTTGCAATTTGCAAAAGAAGCCTTAAAAATAACTGTGTTCTTTTTAAGGCAGTAATTTCTTTCTGGAATTTTCCCTAAGGAAATCAGAGATAAGAACAACATATACATACAGGATTTATTTTTATTTATAAAGTGGAAACCTAATGAATGTTCAAATTGAGGAAACACAATAAAATCACAATGATATTTTATATAACTAAAAACCGTGTCTTGAAGAATAATCAGTTAGATGAGAAATTGCATGTAATATGATGTTAAGTGTAAATATAGATAATAAAAAGCTGTATGTCCAGCATCAACTATTATATATCTTCATGTACTTCATTATGTACTGTTTAATTAATTTAATTCTCACAATAATGGCTTAATAAAAGCACTACTATTGTTCCCATTCATCAAATAACAAAAACAACTTTGAGAGAGATTAAGTAACTATAGGCAAAGTCACATAGTTATTAAGACTCAGGTCCAGATTCAAACAGATTTTCTGCTCATAGCTAGTATTCTTTAATTTTTTTTTAATGTTTAGTTTTTTTTGAGAGAGAATGAGACAGAGCATGAGCAGGGGAGGGGCAGAGAGAGGGAGACTCAGAATCTGAATCAGGATCCAGGCTCTAAGCTGTCAGCAGAAAGCCGAACACAGGGCCCAAACTCACTAATGGTGAGATCATGACCTGAGCCGAAGTCAGATGCTCCACTGTCTGAACCACCCAGGAACCCGTCATAGCAAGTATTACTTTACCATCATATTACATGTTATATCAATAACAGCAGATTACAAAGAAGAAAATACACTAAAATGAAACCAATATTTACTCTTGAAAGTTAGTAATTACTAAAATTTAATTTTTTTCTTTTTATGGATTTTTCTACAGTTTTTTTAAGGTAGAAAGTTGCTGAATACCATTCAATACTTCTCAAGATGAAAATTTTTATCTACTTCCACAAAAATAGCTAAAAGGATATAAATATGATATTACTACCATCCTGTCATGATTTACTGACTTACATCATCTTAAATGACTTATATGAAAGTCCTAGAATAGTAATCTTATCTAAAATGGCAATGCTATGAAAGTATTTTACCAATTTAAGAGTTAAAAAAACTTGTTATGTCAATTGAATTGACATAATTCCAATGTCAAGATCAGAGGAGACATTAATTGATAATAAAACTATTTAAGATCCTTGATTTTAAATGTAATTATAACAGAAAGATAATAAATATATAATAAATTTAAAATATAAAATAAATAAAATTTTAAAAAGAAATATAATATTTATTAAATATAAGAAAAGTATTAATGAAAAAATTGTAATTACTTAATTTGCTGATCAAATTATTTCTTGAATAATTATTTCCAGTTTAAAATATGTTCATTTATGATAAAGTAATACATAAAACTTCTGACACTACTCTCTATTTATTTTTGTCCTACTTTTAAGTTGGTTGTTTTATGTAATAAGGTGGAGTTATTTTCCATATGCACCTGATATCCTGTCAGACTCAATTTTACTGCCTTCTTTGCAAAACAACATATATACAAATTCTTTAACCTTTGGAAATTTGTGAGAAAACTCTAGTGTTTCAAAAATGTTTTTCTTATTGTCACAAGATTTCATATGCTTGAAAATTTATCTTATACTAATAATAGAAATAGTTAACACTCATTTAGTATTTACTATGTATGAGGGATTCTCTTTAAGTCCTTCCCTTTAATTCTTATAACCATCATCCATTTGAAAATCCATTGAGTTTGTATCAAGTAGAAAATTGAGGCAAAGAACAGTTAAGTAACTTGCCTAAGCTCCTAGCATGTGAAGTGGAGATGGATTTGAATCCAGACAATCTACGCAGAGTTTACATCTATCTCTTGTTTTTTTGCTCAGAGCTCTATATTTAATAAAGCAAAATAGTTTAAATGCTTTTGAAGTTACAAAATACAAGAAATATCAGTAAGTCCTTGAATCTGTAATCCACATCATTTTTCTATAAACAGTAAATATATAACAAAAATGGACTGCAAAGTAAGGAAATGTAGAATTCTGGAGAATTGATATTACAAACTCACAAAAAGGAGATACATCAATGTATTGGATTGGGTCAATAATAGGTTAGCTAGGAAGTTAGTAATATTAACCAGGAATGATTGTGTGAAAGAAGTAGATTTCTTCTATGCAGCTGCTGCTCAGGAGGTTTTCAAAAGGAAAAGGTCCTAGAGTGGCATTAAAGATCAGGCTTAAGGGACATCTATTTCTCACAACTCTAAAGGGTAGAAATTGATTAAGCTGCTCTTTCTAAGTGTTTCACCTTCTCATATTGACTTTATAGTCCCTTGCCTTGACTTTCTTCTTGATGGAAAATAAGAAGAAAAAAAAGGGAGGAGTGAGACAGAATAGGAGAAAAGTGGAGGACATATATGGGTTAATTACTTTGTAATCAGTTTTATAATATTATTATTGCTATCAAATTGTATTGCATGCTTACTCTATACCATACAACTGGGTCAATGTCTTTATGTGCATTGTTTCCTCTAATCCTACCAAGACTATGTTTTCGGTGATACCACTATTTTGATTTTAGAGAGAAGGAAACTAAAGCTTAGCAAGGTTAAAGTAATTTTCTCAAGGTCTCATCACCTTGAGAAATAAGACTCAGGAAATAAGTTTCAGGCAAAGCTTGGTTCTTTGAACTACTGTCCAAGCTATCATAACAAGACTCTGGCAGAAATAGGACTTAGAAACAAGACTAGGCAAAACATAATTCTTGGAACCACTCTGAACTATCATAACCAACTACCTCTCCTAAGACATACTAAAACTATGAAAGGCAAAGAGGGATAAACTGATGGCAACAGGTTTTATATCTTTAGAGGTTCTGCTGAACACCAGACAATTATGTCCTCAGGTCCCAAAAACTGTATGTCTCTGAGCTGATATTCAAATAAAAGTTCATTTGGCTCCAAGTCAGATTTTTTTTTTCTTTTGTAGAACAGCTACCTCTAAAGAAAGCCTCTGGGTTAAAAATAACTATAATTTAACCAATTAAATTAAAATGGAATAATTTGGTTATTAAAATCCATTTAAGGAGGATAGATAGAGCTGGAGTCATTCACATCCTAAACTACAAAGACAAAAACTAGGCAAAGAAAAAAAAATGGCAATGAAGATAAAATCTGTCCTATTTTCTCTACTTTAAAAGTAATTACTTATATATAAATAGATCACACTTATTGGAAAGCTAGAATATCTCTTTGGCCTGGGAATACAGTCCAGAAGGAAGAGCAGAGTAGGTAGGTACAGACAGATATAAGTGCCAACCTCCAAGCTTCACTGCTAGGTCAAGTGTCTACTGATATTAACAGGAGCCTCCTTGAGAACCTACCTCAGACTAGACTGGAATTGAAACTTGATTTTTCTTTCCAAAATAAGTTAGTTAACCTACAAAGAATATCTGTCAGCCAAAAACTTGCATTGCAAACCTTTAAAATTGTGCAATTTAGTCCTA